TATTTGTCAGATAAACCTTTTGACATACTGTTGAAACAATTGTTAATGCATTTGGGCTAATTCATTTTTTAACAAGGCTTTTTCTAATATCTGATGCATGAAATACACCAAATTTGGCTATTAAATTGTCAGTATTTATTTTTGTATCATATTTGATAATTTTCTCATTTATTGTTTATTAAATCACTTATGAATAGTAAAAGTGACAAACTCTTTTAACCCTCGTCTTCAAAGTTACCAAATTCACTCATCTGTCCATTAAAAATTTTCAAAAATAAAAAAACTTTGCCCGCCCCTGCTTTAATCAGCAAAGCCGCACTGTTTAGTCTACACACACACACACACACACACACACACACACACACACACACACACACACACACACGCACGCACGCGCGTGCGCTCACACATTCTATATGTTTCACATGATCATTGAATTTCACGCCCGTGTTATGTGTGTGATTGCGGTCTTTGAGGCCTCACACACACACACACACCCACACACATCAAGAGTGAGGTCATAAGTGAGAGAGTGATCCAGGAAATGAAACACACCTCAGATTACAGCAAAACAAGGATGGCTAACATGTTCAACGTGCGCTTTTTCACATTTTCACATCATGAGCGGCTTTCTGGGCCGCGCTGATTGAAACCTTTTCCCTCTGCTCTCAAAACACAAGAGGCCAGTGTGAAAACAAACTGGACTTTCTCAAGCCAGCTCAATTTCTCTGTGCCTTTCTTCTTCCGTTATTGTGTGAAACTGAGGTGGTAAAAGTACTCACACTCTGTACTTAAGTAAAAGTACCGATAGTTATGTGAAGAAAGACTATGGTAAAAAGAGATTTACAGTGGAGCCACTGCATAGGCGTGGTTCAACATATATTTCAATTTATGATCTTTTATTTGCGAAAAAAACTTGCTTGTTTGCAATTTTATGTAATATAGCAAAAATGTCCAAAAACAATTACTTTATTTTCCTGACAAAATACCGTCTACAGTACATATGAAATTTGCTCAATCATGTTTTTTATTTAGACAAAGAACTCCACTGAAATCATCAAAAGTTGACTACCGGTACATTAATTTTGTTAACGAAAGCTAACTAGCGTAGGTTAACCTGACCGTCACGTTGGCTTAAATCCTAAACAGTATCATGACAACGAAAAGAATCGCAATTTTCACTTGACTGCATTCATGGAAACAAACGTAATCAGAAACTGTGACGTTTTCATTGCATTGATTCAAATTATTGAGTGAGGCGTGTGGGGTCCACCTTGAAGTTACCAAATCCATTTCCTGGCTCAATAAAGATCAACAGGTGTGTGCTATCTGGGTCATCTTTTTATCCTTAAAGATCAATAAAGTTCTTGTATAGAAAGCCTACCCTGAGATCATCTCGGCTCGGCCGTGTTTTCACAGTGAAGTCAGAGTGAAAACCTTCTAATACGCCTTAATCCACTTTTGCGGCATAAGCTCTCTTTCATTGGGACCGCTCGGTTTACACGTGCGAGTCCGCGGACTGGTCGGGTTGAAGAGTCCATGCTAGCATGACGCCTGTCATCGTGAAGCTACGGTTACATTAGGAAACCATTAAGAGCTCAACAACTATGTGCATTGCACCGGGGTAGATGGTCTCTTTTTATGTTGATTATTTGTGCTGCTTTTATATTTGGATTTTTACAACCCGTTTAGGCAGGAATGTGGTTAAGTGCTTGACTTTAAGGAGCAGCGAGTCTCAAGTTCAAGCACAGCGATGGATCAAGGGGTTCTATTTACATTCCATTTGAATTTAGTTGATCTTTTTTATTTTTCCAACAACCTGTTTAGGCAGCAAAAGCGTTTTAAGAGTTTGGCTGTGCTGTGTCTCTGGTTCAAGACCATTGATGGCTCAAGCGGTTCTCTTTTTATTCATATTATTTCTGTTTTTTACAGCAACCATATTAGGCGGTAAATTATTCAAGTTTGCAACCCGTTTGGGCAGCTAAGCAGATAAGGAAGTGCCTTTAAGGAGCAAAAATACTTGCGTTTGAGGACAGCAATGGAACAAGTGATTCTCTTTTTATTTAATTTCTCATGTTTTTGTTTGGATTTTTTTCAGCAACCCTTTTCGGCAGCAAAGCAGTTAAATTTCAAATTTAGGGAGTAGAAAGCCAAACCTCACATTAAAAAATTGCAATTTGATGAGTGGTTGATTCATATTATTTGTATTTGTTTGACATTACATTTTTACAGCTCAGGCATTCCACTCAAGTCCAGTAAGTGGAAGCGATTACAATCTTTTATCTTCACTACCCCAGTGCAAGTGGACTGTAACATCCCCAGAAATGATGATTTGCTGGATCTGCACCAAAATGTGACGCCAGTATGACAACATACTACTCAACAGTCTTTCTGCCAGTTTGTTGCAGTCATATTCAAAATCAATGCTCCATCGCTATTAGCCTGCGCTAAGTGCGTTATTCACCTGCGCTTGAGGGCATTTTGGAGCTATTCGAGGGCCTTCTTGGAGGATTTTTGAAAGGATGTCACCCGGCAGCCTCACACACACACACACACACACACACACACACACACACACACACACACACACACACACACACACACACAAAGCCAACTGATGGATACAAAATGAGTTGCTCAGAACAAATTGGCAGAATAACCTTGATGGGTTTAAGCCTGACGCAGTTTTCCCATTGAGGCACCGCCAACTTGACGCTTGCTGCAGTAAAGATTTTTTTGTTTATCAAAGTCAACTGTGAAGAAGGATGTGATTGACTAGATGGGTATAAATGTGTGTGTGTGTGTGTGTATGTGTGTGTGTGTGGCGCGCGCACACACACACAGACGGGGGCACGGGGGGAGTCTGAGAGAGACAGAGGGGGGGGAAGGATTATCCACACACAGCTAATCTCTTTATTCCACTCAAATCTACAGTACATCTCCCCTCTAGACAGAAAAAAATACTTCCTGGTGCTTTGAGAGTGAGCACATACACATACACACGATCAGATTTGTAAGAGTGTGGGTGAAGCATTAAATTCAGACCCGACTAGTGCTCTGACTAAATGTATTGATCATCTCAAATTCTTTGCTCTTGTTTATGAGCTAGCTGCGTATTCTCCATTTGAGTCAAAATTGAGTCTGGTGTGTTAATGAAGACGCGTGACGCTAATTAGCCTGCAGCTACCTCATCTTGTGTAAAGTCATTTTCCTCACTCGCATCTTTGTGGGGACCTTTCGTCGACCCACTTAATGTCACGGCCTTCATTCTCACGAACATTTATGACATTTTTTTTTTTGGAGGGGGGGGTGGGGGAATCTACACTGAGTTCCACTCACTTGAATCATTTGCATGTCCCTAAAGACTGAATTTAGGTAGGAGAGGGCTTGTTTACATGTGTTACACGTCAACTCGGATCAAGCGCGGCAGGAATGTGAAAATAGACGCTCCCATTGCTTTAATATTGCACCTCCACGCCTTGCATATAATTCCTGTGTGTGCGTGTGTGTGTGTGTGTGTGCGTGTGTGCGTGCGTGTGTGTGTGTGTGTGTGTGTGTTTGCCTTATGTTGCATCATGAAGTTCCACACATCAGGAAAGTGATAATCAACAGCTGCTCTGCTCACGTGTTATTGTGATAATGATTACCAAGCTATTAATATAATTGTGAAGGGGTGGCAATTTTCACATTCATGTTGTTGTGAACATTAAGAAGCCACTGTGCGAAAAACAGGTTAAATCCATCCAATCATATTCAATGCCGCTTATCATGAAAAGGGCCACGGAGGGATGGGGGGTTTGTTGGAGCCTATTCCAGCCGGTGGAAGGCGGACTATAACCTGAACCGGTCGCAAGTCAGTCAAAGAACAAGAGATTACATGAAAATGTGATATATTTATTGTTCTTTGATTGGTGATTGGACTAAGAAAGGACAAATGCTTTGGTACATTTTAGAGCCTGATTTGACGTTGTTGGCTCCCAGAATCGTTCGTGGTCGGTGCCTTTTACTTTAGAACTTAACTCCATTTCAGTGTCTGTAGCTTTTCCTTTAACTTAAATAAAGGAGTTGAATCAGTACAGTAATATTTACACACTTTTCCATCCTCAAGTACAGTACAGAGTACACTTATCTGTAATTAATTTACGCTTTATCCTCAACACCGCTCATTGCTTTCGAGCTGCACTTGCAGCCTTGTACTGCCCTCGTGTGGAAAAAGAATGTTACTACAACTACATGACAGAGCGCACGCACACAAACACACACACGCACAGTAAATCTGGGAAGTCTTCACAGCATTTCAATTTTTCCACATTTTTTTATGTTATAGGCAGGCTCATCCCGAAATGACTGTCACAGGGATAGTCGATCAGATTCAGGTTTGGGATCTGGTTGCATCCCTCAAGGACATTTGCTGAGTTGTCCTGAAGCCGCTCCCTCGCCGTCTTGGCTTTGTGCTTGGGGTTGATCAAATCCTCACCTCAGTCTGAGGTCCTGAGTACGATGAAGCAGGTTTTCATCCAGGAGCTTTCTGTACATTGCTGCATTCATCTTTCTGTCAATCCTGACAAATCTTCCAGTTCCTACCGCTGACCAACATCCCCACAGCATGATATTGCCATAACTGTGCTTTACTGTTGGCATGGTACTGGGCAGGTGTTGATCTCTCCCTGCTTTCCTCCAGGCATGGGAGCTGATATAGACAGTTGAGCTTTTCCAAATCATGTCCAATCAAATGCCCAGTACAGCATTAAAAATGGATGAATAGAATCGCAAAAATTTGAAGCTGCTGAATGATGTTTCCGGGTAGCCACAAGCACGTGTAGAACGCGTTGCTCCATTAAAGCAACAATAGGGCAACATTTCAAAGGAGCGGAAGCTTCCAAAATGCAATGTCATCAATGACAAGTTCATTTCTTTTCTGTCTGTGTTTATTTTTCTTCCTGCTCTGTGCATCTGCTGCCTTGCCGATGACCTTTGAACCCGACAGGGTCATCACTCAGGCTACTTCGGCACCGGGAAGTTCAAAGGTCAGGAACCCAACCTGAGAGGAAGCAAGCAAGACAGAAACACAGACAGAAGAACAGAGGGCATAGAAAGGTAACACACACACACACACACACATACACATGGTCTCAGGTTCACAAAATGTCTTTGAGCAAGACATTCAGAATTTATGATCTTACAATTGAGCTAATTTACCCAATTCCACCCCCACAGTTTCTCTGCCCATGATTTCCATCCTCGGCTGGGGGAGGATCCAAAGTTTTTCAAGCCACGTCCTGACTACGCCATGTTAAACACTATCACGTCAAAGCTAAAAAGGTAGGCAGAGATGCATTGATTAACGTTTAATTGCTCGTGAAGATTTCAGTGTGGTGATAATTTAGTTTGCTAATGTCTCCGCTGCATGTGCCCCATAAACAGATAATTCAATTGACAAATGTGTTTGGTGTAGTCTGTATGAAGAGCTACCTGCGTCAGTAAAAATGCTTGTAAAAATGCGTCTACACCGGCGTTTCCCTTTTTTCCACACACGGGGCTGCACTTCAATAAGTAGAGCCCTCTTGCCTACTCACAACGCCCTCGCTCTTTCCACAGGTTAACAAAATACAAAGTTGTCATTGGTCCAGGAGTAGATTGCGAACTTGCATAAGATAGGACCACCACCTCAAAACAGGATGATATCAGTCATACAAAAACAAAAAAACAGTGCAACTTTAAAACATGCTAAATTTTTCTTTTAATCCATTGTAGTTTTGTTTTTTGATGAATGATTGGAACAGTCTTTTTTCTGGAGACAAGTTACGTGAATGGCTTACAAAAAAATGCATAGTTCTCATTTGATACAATCAATTTTATTTTACAGGCACCTTACATTCACAAAAAGAAAACGTAATACTCTTCATCATTATAGTCATGCAATGTTTTTCTTGTCCATAGTAAGGAGGAGACACTTGTCACTTTGGAATATTGAAAAAACTAAGTGCGACTATGACTAGTAGTAGTAATAATAATTACAATAATAAATAAATTGTTTGGAATCTTTTAGGGACCAGCAGATGTGTTTTTCTGAATGTCCAAGAAGAACCAGAAGCAGCAATAAAGGTATGTGAATGGTGAGTTTACCGGCTTCGAGTTAGGTACAAACAGATGTCTGGTAGTTTGGTTTGGTGCGTTGGTGGTGTGGGGGCGGAGGAGGTCCCCTTCAGGAGGTCCTGTCCTCAAAGTAGGTCTGCTCGATGCGCCGACAGAAGGACAGCAGGTTTCCGTAGCCCCGCACGCGCTCGGCTAGCTCGGTGCTGGTCAGCCGGGTGGTTAGGATGGTGAACAAATGACCAAACACCAGCGCGTCCAGCTCAGTCGGCCTGAAGAAATACACAAATTGTTCCTAAACTACAGTATGTATTCAATGTTAAAATATAAATGCATTCAATTACAAGCCTTTTTGAGGGAGCGTTAATTACTCCCAGTGGCATTTCTTGGTCCCTATTTTTTTTTTTTTTTGGAAATAAACTCCAGGTGTACATGAAAGGTGGATAAAACAATAAATGTGGTCGAAATGTGCTAAGATGAGAAGTATGACCATGATTAAACACAAATGACATGTAGTGATGTTGAAGTTACACTCATTGAAATTAATGGGTGCAAGATTCAACTCAGCCAGAATAAACACCATGTAATGTTTAACACTGTATGAGTTGCGTATTGTTTATAATAGTATTGGTTATTTCTGTGTCGTCTCTGCCTGGTCGTTACACCTGTGGAGCAATTTGGGCACGGAGCTTGTTTCATGTATTCCATCAGTGTAAGCACAGTCATATTGGTCACATTGGGAAAAAGTATTAATTGGCTTTAGATCGGAATTGAGTACTGAGAACATAAATTGAAATCCGGACCAAATGGGAATCTGAGTAATTACAGCCTTTTGCCACCGGGTGGTGCTAAAGACACAATTTCATATTTTTATTTATTTGTAAAATGTACGACAAATATATTGGAAATACAGATGGAGGGATACTGTCTATTCACACGGTATTTCATATTTTTATTTATTTGTAAAATGTACGACAAATATATTGGAAATACAGATGGAGGGGTACTTCCTATTCACACGGTAGTACTATTAACACTAAGAATGCCCGACCCCCCTCCCCAAAAAAACCCGCAGCTCTTCGGACAGAGGTGGGCAAAGTAGACATATATGATGATGATGATCGTAACGTGTCATATAGTATTTCTTGTGCTCATTTAACCGTTTTCCTTAAAATTGGTTGACATAATTTTTATTTCGTATTTTTATTCATTTATCTAATTAAATAGCAGTTAGTCGATTTATTGTAAATAATAAAACATTTTTGTCAAATACAAAAAAGTGTACAAGTACATTCAACATGTTTAATTTTATCCACCAATCGCTGAGGTCAGGTTCCACAGGGGGAAAAAAAAAACACAAATAGGTAAATTTGTGAAGAGTGAACTGCCACTAGGCGGGCATCACTTTACTCAAAATGGCACCTCATACATACTGTTTATTGAAGAAGAAAGGCTGCGTTCCGAGGCGCTGCGAGAGAGCCTGACAGCACTGACTCACATCCTCATAAACCTGAAAGGCAAAAAGGGAGAGGGAGTGGCCGCTCCGCTAAATGTGTTAAGTGGACTTCCACAATAATAATTCCTAACCTGCTCCAGGTTTTTCCCTCCCCAACCGATGGCGTTCATCTTCCGCCGCACCTCCCACTGCTTCTGGTAGGCCAGGATGGTGCTGAGGGGCCACGAGTAGGGGCTGCTGTACCTGGGGCGAGTGATCTAAACCCCACAGAGACGTGTCAGCGAGTCGATGTGACTTTGAAGATGCTTGATGAAAGGAGAGGACCCACCTCAGCAGCTGTGCCGTCGTCACACCACTGGATGTACAGCTGGAGAAGACAATATAAATATACTGTATACATCACAGAAAAAAAAAACATGAGCCAGAGGTGGGTGAAGCACAAACATACATGCAAATGACCACAATGACCTCAATTTGAGCCAGGAAAAATCCTGGAGTGTGCCAGACTCTATCCCTGCATATGTGTGTAAAGTACCTCAGCCGTCAGCAGCATGTTGTTGACCAGCTCCATGTATGCTTTCATTTCGGCCCTCTGAATGTCATCCAAGCCCTCGCTCAGAGAGTGACCCTGGCGTGAAAAGAAAAATCCTCAAATGAATTCAATTTGAAAATGAAATATAACTTACAATCAGATCGAGCTAAGACAGAGCTCTACATTGTATTGCTTTTAGGACTTATTATTAACCGAGGCTAATTCATTCATTTATTTATTTATTTTTTACGCTTGACCTCTCATGTCAAAATGTGACTTAAAAATTTTCCTGTGCAAATAATGTTTGAAGGCAACTCGGTTTGGGGCTCAACTCATGTCCATGTGTTAATTTTCATTCACCTTGGCTTTGGTAAACTGCACTATTGGACCCAGTTCCGACACCACCTGGTTTCCCACATGGATAAAGGGAATCTTGCCTGCAGAAAAAAATGTAAAAACAGTTTGGGCAACATTTTCCGCTCGAACATAAAACATTAACAATACTGCACTTGTACATTAACTCACCAGAAGGCGACATGTACTCGGCATTTGCTTTGCAGACCACCTGCACGGGCAAACCACACATCCGCAGGTAGGCCTGCACAGGAGGCAAAACAGGCTCAGAGGACACATCATTTGGCACCTAATCTAGATACATCCAATACACAGCCCCACAAAACGGATTTTACCTGCACAGCGAGGGATGAGGCGCATTCTGACAGCAAAATCTGATCCTCTGCACAAGTCAAAATGGAGAGTTGTTGTTATTTTGTTCCTGTTTTCATCACTACAGCGAAATACTTAAGAAATACAAAGAAAGCTCTCGGTGAATAGGTTTAAATATGAAATGATATGATCCGGAGGGGGGTGGGGCGGGATACTCACCCTTCAGTGGCTGGTACAAGGTTGCACTCTCAGGCCAAGGCTCAGCAGCTGTCCAAGTCATAAGCACAAGAGATTCATGTACATCATTTACTGGCTAAATAACAAAATATTTATAGATATTGTTTTAAGTTATGTCTTTTTCGCTGTGCTAACATTGTGGATGGATAGCATTCGGAGTCTATTACTACACTGTTTTCAAACCAAAATGTATAATTTTGAAAAGGTGGAGTTCGATCGGGTCGGAAGTTAGAAGTGTCCCCGCAAAATGGCGGCTCGGACGTGTTTGTCGGTGGACAAAGTGGAGGAATGCCAATGTCAACAGAGATTCCAAAACTGGGAGCAACAGCACAAACCAAGGTAGGACAATTAGCTCTTATGGTTTAAATTGTAGTCAAGTGTGAAAACGTCATCCAAAACCGGTGTTTTAGTGGAGAATATTCTACCGGAAACCATGTTTCGCAGGTAAATTCACTTCAGGGAATTTCAGTCAAACCTTGCACTTGTTGCGCAAGTAAATTATGTACTTTTAACTCCGAACCTTGCTAATGGCGTAAATATTTCATTAGCATTGCACAACACTGACAGCGTGCATGTGCGTCATACATTTAAGCTAAAGACTCGCAGCTACTGCTGGCGTTGCATCGAAACATTACCTTATGCTTAACTTTTAATATGATTTGCCACCGCTGCAGAAAAAATCGTTAGCGAACCCGCTGCCTTGCTAAAGTCATGATGTGTTGACGCCAAAAGATGCAACACTTTACCTGCCATTTGTGACACAAAGGCGTCCGCTGCAAGAGACATGTTTGCTTATAATTCCTCCCTTTAAATATTCTATTTATGACAAAGTATTATTACAAAGCTGAGGTCGGCTCTGTTTCATGGGAGTTTGAGGGCAAAGCTTGGAGTCAGTCACCGACTGGTCCACAGGAAATTCTCAGTCCGGCAGGCAACACTTAACGCGAAAATTGGTTCCGCTTCGAAGCTGGAAGGTCCAATGCATTGATTTCCTCTTTGGGCCATTAAAGCTAGGCTCGACAGCTGGACTGGATGATTTGTATTTATAAAACGGATCAGAAGAAGCACAGACGTCTTATTAAAACATTATCAGAAGCTAAGGGTTTAATGCTAAGACTGGTCTGTGTATCATTTTGCTTGACGACAATGACGTAGTGACTGATGTTTTCCTTTAAGATGCAATGCACGAATTAACCACATGGGGACATCGTTGTTCCAACAGCGATATTGGCGGAAAGCGCGTAACGTTTCAAGATGGGCAAAAAGAACAAGAAAGGTACTCTTTGTTTTAAGTGCACGGGTTTAACCTGTAGATGATGATGCATTATGTATGTGATGTCGACCTATCCTGCGATTAAACTGATTGAACGCCATTGAGGTAATTGGATCCGTGTGGAGGTTTCCAGATTGTTTATTTAAGTCACATTTTGGATCCATCTGTCGCAAATGTTCTCAGTCTGCAGTGCATGGTCCTTTTTTGATGAATCTCTTGTGACTTTTCCTGCCCATTTGTCTCCAACGGAAGCCTCCAATTAAAGAAACTCATTTCCCACCAACCGCCACCAGAAGCGACCCATATAGCATTTGTCCTGCACCCGACATACTTTATTTGGGTCTTCCACAACATAAACATGCGCCAAATGCAACGAATCCGCGATTTTTCTTAATTTGACTCATTATTGACTGAGGATTGTTAAATATATTTCTTGTATTTTTTAAACCTTACCTAGTCCATATTTCTTTATTTGCAACGTTTTCACTACAAACACTTTTACTTGATTTAAAAACCAAACGCAGTCTTAAACTTTGCCCGAAAAGCCATTTCCATGCAATACTCACTTCTTTATCTCCCTTTTTTGCACGTTTACTTGAAATGTTACGATTCTTGTCACGTTTGCGCACCAAGTAGACTTTCATCTCATTTATTTCTTTGTTTCACTTCGTTGGCACCAAAGAGACTTTTATTGCATTTAAGACCCAAACATTCCATATGTATTTGTTACTTTTTCCCTTAGCTATAATCCACCTTTTCTTAAAACTCGTCGTTTTCAGACCAAATACAGACTTTGGGTAAAACTTATTTTCGATGAATTTATTTCTTTATTTCCTTTACCTAATGAGACTTCATCTGCAAAATGTTCACACAAAATTGAGACTTATGTGTCTTCTCGTTTATTTAAACACAGTGTGTGCATGTGTGCAAGAGAGCTGGAGACAATACAATTATAATGTAAAGTTTTTATTTACTTAACCAAGATTTTTTTTTTATCAAAATGTTTTTCCACATATAAAAGTCGTACACTGATGTTTTTTTTTTGCCGTACCTTTTTCACATACAAAACGACACAGTTGCTGTTACCAAGAATAAAATATGTTATAAACATACACATAATAAAAAATAATAAGTACTGACGGAGGCAAATTAGCATATTAAACTGGAATCTAAAAGAATGAGGGGGGAAAACACTATTATTCTTTGTATGTTGGTGCTGGATGGACTTTAAAACCCTGTAAGGAAACCCTGAGACAAATATACAAACACCTTTTGGAGCTCAGTTGTGTATAAGTGTGTGTGCGTGTGTGTGTGTGCGTGCGCTGCACGCTTTGGCACATAACAGTGCGAGCCCATTTGTCGCCTGTGTCATCTTTGCGTTTGCATTTTGGTCATGTGCATACAAGTAATACTCTGCCTCACAATTATACAACCCTGTATTATTTTTTTACCCTGTAGAAATAATAATAATGATAATAATAATAATAATAATAATAATAATCAGGAAGAAAAAATACTGTAACCCTGTTCTCTCCAAAACAAACCATGAATGCTTCCAGGAGATCCAGAACTCGAACAAAAATGATGACGATACTAGGCTATATATAAAGCTAGATGCATGGATGCTTGAGGAATGTGGGCCTGGATCGTCACTTGGTCTTTTTGGGGGTCCTAAATGCCCCCTTCGCATCACCCCCGGCCCCACAGTCTCACACCGGGAGGGTCACCTTCTCCGCGCTTTTCTTGGCCTTGCTGCGTCCCTTGGTGTTCGGCAGCTTGTTGTCCTTCTTCCAGCGCATGCGCCGGTTCTGGAACCACACCTTGACCTGGCGCTCGGACAGGCAGAGCGCATGCGCCACTTCCACGCGACGGCGGCGAGTCAGGTAGCGGCTGAAATGGAACTCCTTCTCCAGTTCCAGCACCTGCTGACGCGTGTAGGCCGTTCGCAGACGCTTGGGCTCCGGGCCCGGGTGGTTCGGGTTCACTGTGGGAGGGCAGGAACGGACAGCGTGACGTCATTTGTTGGTTTGTTTGTTTTACATGAGAACACGTGCCGAAAGGGCAATGGTGTGTTACCGTGCAATATGACGAACTGAAAATGAAAATTAAAGTGAGTTGGGTATACATTTACTCGGCATTATAAAAGTAAATTCTGTAAAGTGGTATTGATGTATGGGGCACTTATTGATCCCAATCAGTAGGGGTTTTGCCTAAACTGCTTCGTAAAAGCATATGCATTCGCTTTAAGCACGAGAAACATGTAGGTGTTGAAAACCGCAATGTCGATATTTTTGCGATATTTAACGTGTTCAACAACGGAAACTACTTTTTTATTCATGAAAGAAATACATTTTCATGGTCAATGTGTTCGTAGCTAATTCCCATAACATACGACATAAACTTTTAGTGTTAGTAGTGGCCCCAACTTCTAGTAGATGACGATGTGTTTTGAACGTTCTATATGATTGGTCAAAGTCAGATAAAAGTACACAATTTAAGATGAAAGGTATTGTAGGTGTTTGCGATCCGAAGATTGACCATCTTTTTTCGATATACAGTATTGTGCAGCCGATGTTAATTATTTTCTGTTATTTCTTCTCTGCGCCTTTCTCGACATAAATATCGAGTGTCATACTGGTGTGTAAATGTGTAATCGTGTAGATTTGCTGTGCCTGTGTGTTAAATCTATATCCCAATACTTCCCCTTTTTTTAAGATTTGTATTCAAATTTAGAGAGCACCTTTGGTTGAATTTACTGCCAATTATTTTTTATGTTATACTGTATATTTAAGAAAAATCCAAATAATTGTATTAAATCATGTACATTTTTTTCATTTTTATTCAGCCTCGTTGCAAATTTAGGTATGTTTATCTTAATAGGAATAATTGACCACTGTACACCCATTCATATCAATAGTCGATTTTTTTTCATTGCAGTTATTAGAGGCTGTTCCTATTAATTGTATTTTGAAAGTGTGTGTTTGTGTGCCCATTTGCGGTTGACCACCAAACTGGTTAAAAAAACCATTCTGGACTATTAACGCGCATCTCTTTGTTCACTGTCAGGGTACACACACACACACACACACACACACACACGCACGCACACACACACACACACACACACACACTCACACACACACATACGCACGCACACACACACACACACACACACACACACACGCACACGCGCGCACAAGCTGCGGCAGAGCCATAAAAGTTTATAGCGGCTGTAATTCTGCCTGACTCTCACTGCGATCATAAATAACTCACCACAAGAAATGGTGCTCCCAAATGGACAAAACACTAGAGCAAGTGTGTGTGTGTGGGGGGGGGGGGTGTTGTGGTGTTAGATGGGTTGCCGGGGGGCAAGAGGGAGAAATAAAATAATAAAGCAAATGACATCCATAGGGTGTCAGAAAAAAGGGTAACCGATAGATGAGAATGGAGGTGTGTTCCTCACCGTGGGCGATGTGCACCTTCTTCATCCAGGGGTACACTACGATGGGCGGCTTGTCTTTGGCCTGGTGACCCCCTCCGGCAACGATTCTCTTCTGCACCTGAGTGGGCTTACTGGCGCACGTCATCCACATCTCCGGGAAGCCCCCCTCCTTGCCCCCGGCGTCGTCGTGCTCGGTGTAGCCGGGGAAGGGCGCACCTTGCTGGGGCAGCCGCTCGGCATCCTCCCGTGGATGCTGCTGCTGCTGCTGCGCCTGCAAGGAATGTTCATAGGCGGTTGGTTGGGGTGCGTAGCCGGGCTCGGGCGGAGGGGCTGCGGCTGCAGGCTGGTAGCGCCCACCGCCGTACGTGCCACAGTCCGGGGGGCTGTTGTAATAGCCCCCCTGGTCAGTAAAATGACTGTAATCTTCTTCGCAAGGCGGGAAGTGCGGCTCGGCGTATTTGCAGCTCACCGCGTAGGACTCCATGATTGATTTATAGCGAGGCTGGTAGGAGAATACTAATTTTTCTTTTTCCTCTCTCTCTCTCCCTCTCTCCCTCTACCCCTTCGCCCTGTAGCCCCCTTTTCCCCCCTCTGGCATTAAGCCACCCCGCGGCTGTCAAATAGATGAACGGCCGCGAGGACCACGTGACCCGGCAACTCAGCCAATAGGAGCCCTTGCTTTTTTTGCGGCTTTCCCGAAATATAACGTTTAAAAAAAACATCGTCCTTAATTGGCCTAATGAAGATTTGCTGGCGGGGCTAAATTGGAAAATTGGATGTTTGTGCATTGGAACTGCTGCGTCATTATTTATCTTATCTATATAAACCCATCCATCCGACTACCGCCCCCCCCCTTTCTATATTGAACCCGCACAGTAGATTTATGACTTTTTCACTGACGGACGGGATCGACCCCCACAGATGGGACCTCGAGCTGAAAAATTAATCGGGCCCATATTGAAGGGACGCGGGGGCCATATTTGGCCTTGTGGCAGCAAGTCAAAGGGCGCACAACAAAACGTGACCGTTCCGCAGAGGGCACGCACACAAGAATGGGACAAAAAGGCCCCAGACAGTGACTAGTAGTTGGCTTTGTTGCGGGTCGGGGTCAGCCCGAGGTGTCCCGTTCACCTCACCGTCATCATCACCGTCTCTGAATGAAAGCCACGTTGGAAAAATGATGCCGCAAAAAAAAAAAAAAAATGCAAAGGCGTTTAAAAATGATGTTGCTGGCATAGAAAACCCAAAAGTGGCTAAATTGAGCCCTCACACGAAGATAAATAAATGATAGTCCGTTCTAAACATCCCCATATAATCATTCATCCGTGCATATGGCTCCCCCTAAACCCCCGCATTGTTTTGGCATGCAGCTTTTGGCTCAAGTGGAGTCTTTATTTAATGTGACCCAATGCAAGTGAACCCCAAAGCAAATCTGTTTGATCTGGCTTCCAGATTCTAATGAATCCCAGCGATAACCTCAATGAGGCAAACAGTTGCTTTTAGTGGCTTGTTTTACTCACACTTGATTGTTTTATTAGGGGGAAAGTGTCACTCGGTTCTCTTATCTAAATTGATGTATTTAATTTGAGACACTGACGTAGATTTAAATGGAAGGCATCATTTAATTCTAACGGGGAAGCGAGGTGTAAAAGTGTGGCCTCAATGTCAGGCAGAGATGCAAAAAAATTACATTAGGGCGTTGTTTGTCTGCAAATATATTTATTTTGCATACACACATATATATATATATATATATATATATATAT